GAACCACAGTTTTCCTTTTTTTTTCTTTTTTTCCAGTCCTCTGTTAATTGGCAATTAGGTTGATGTTTTGTGATTGTTGATTGCATGTTGCCTTCTCGTGTAACAAGTCTTTTGGATATATTCCTAAGAGTGATATTGCCGGTTCATATCATATGGTGGTGGATATTTAATTGCCTAATTGTTCTCCATACTGACTTCCATAGTGGTTGCAGCAGCCTGCAATCCCACCAGCAGTAGAGTAGGGTTCCTTTTTTCTCTGCAACCTGGCCAGCAGGTATTGTTGGTAGTTTTTTTTTTTTTTTTTTTTTTGCATGTGAGCAATTCTTTCTGGCATTTAGGGGCACCTCAGTATCATTTTTATTTGAATTTCGCGTATTGCCAGAAAGCTTGCTAATCTTTTTCATGTGCATGGTAGCCATATGAATTTGTTTCTTTGTGAAGTGTCTGCCCATTTCCCATGCCCGTTTCTTGATTGGATTGTTTGTGTTGATGTTATTGTTCTTCTGGAGTTCTTACTATATTCTGGAAATTAGCCCTCTGTCTCCTGTGTAGTATGCAAACATCTTCTCCGATTCAGTTGGTTGTCTTTTTACTCTGTTGATTGTTTCCTTTGCTGTGCAGAAGCTTGTTAGCTTAATGCAGTCCCATTGTTTATTTTAGTCTTGACTTCCTTTGCTTTTAGGAAGTCATTGCCTACACATATATCTTGCAGAATATTTCCAGCTTTTTCTTCCAAAGGTTTGATGGTTTCTAGGTGTAGGTTTAGATCTTTTATCCATTTATATTTGATCTTTGTGTATGGAGAAATGTCTGGGTGTTGCTTCTTATTTCCCAGCCTAATAGCTAGTTGTCCCAGCAGCATCTATTGAAGAACTTCCTTTTTCTTGGATTTTTTTTTCTGTTTTCTTGTTGAAGATTAGAGAGTTGGGCATGTGTGGATTCCCTTCTGTGTTTTCTATTCTACTTCATTAATTTACCTCTCTGTTTCAAAAAGTGGAGAAACATACCATTCTCCTGAATGGACAGTCAACTTAATCAAAATGTCCAAATTACCAAAAATAATATATACATTCAACAATCAAAATATTAAGAACTTTTTCCTTTACATAACTGGGAAAATTATACAAAGATTCATCTGGAAACACAAAAAATGCAAGTAGCCAGAATCATCCTGGAAAATAAGAAAATAGCGGGAGAGATCACAATCCTAGATATTGAGACGTATTATAGAGCATTGGTTACCAAAACAGCCTGGCACTGCTACAGAAACAGAGTGGTATTGTTCTTGTTGCTTACCATTGCTGTAGCTATTTGGGATCTTTTGTGTTTCTATATGAATTTTAACAGCATTTTCTCTACATGGGAGAAAAATGCTATTAGCACTTTGGTTGTGATTATATTTAATCAGTAAATTGCTAGGGTAGTATGGATATTTTGATGGTATAGATTCTTCAGATTCATCAACATGGAACATTATTCCATTTCCTTTTTTGTTGTCTCCTATTTCTTTCCTTAATGTGTTGTAATTTTCATTGTAGAAGTATTTAACATCATTGGTTAGATTTATTCTGAGGTATTTAAATATTTTGTAGCTAATGTGAATAGGAATGATCTTACAAGTTATTTCTGAGCCCTGACATTACTTGTGTAACCAAAAGCTTTTGTGCTTTTTGTACATGTTGATTTTGCATACTACAACTTTACCAATCTCTTAGGAGCTTGAATAGTTTCTTACTGTTCTTTTAGTTTTCCTGTTGTATAAAATCATGTCATCTGCAAACAGGATTGATTTGACTTTTTCCTTTCCAATTTGTGTTTCCTCTGTTTCTTTTTGTTACCTAAAGATTCTGGCTAAATTTCCCAGAACTAAATTGAATAGCAATGTTAAAAGTAGGCATCCTTATCTGGTTCCAGATGTTAGTGGAAATGCTTTTCATCGATCAATGTGATGCTGGCTGTAGGTATGTCACACATTGCCTTGATCAGGTTGAGAAACGTTTCTTGTACAGCTCACTAGCTGAAGGTTTTTTTTATCAGGAAGGGATTTGTATTTTGTCAAGTGCCTTTCTGCATCTGTTGAAATTATCATATGGCTTTATTTGTTCATTTTGGTAATGTAAAAAAGTCACATTTATTGATTTTTTTGTATGTTGAACTATGCCTGTACAATATTGTGGCTTTTTTCTACAAAAATATAATAAACATCCTTGATTTTCTGCATATCTCACAGGATCATATGCAATAAATAAATAGTAGCACATAAATTCAAACTGGCTTATTTTTCCTAGATATCTTTTGAATTTTTTCTCAAAAAACATCAGTTAGTATGATGGTACATGTACTTGCTATGCTAATAATTACTCTGATGCTATCAATGATTGATAGAAATTTAAATGGTTTAGATTTAAAATGGTTTAAATTTAAAATGGCAGCCTAGCACTTAAAGCCCTTGACTTGCATGCACAGCAATCCCATATGGGTGCCGGTTCTAAACCTGGCAGCCCAGCGTCCTATCCAGCTCCCTGCTTGTGACCTTGGAAAGCAGTTGAGGATGGCCCAAAGTCTCAGGACCCTGAACCCATATAGGAGACCAGAAAGAGGCCCCAGGCTTCTGGCTTCAGATCTCCTCAGCTCTGGCCCTTGTGGCCAGTTGGTGAGTGAATCATCAGACAGAAGATCTTCCTCTCTGTCTCTCCTCCTCTCTGTATAACTGACTTTGCAATAAAAATAAAGACACATAAATCTTATTTTTCAAAAGGAAATTTTATTTGAAAACAATATTGGTATGTCCCTAACAATATGTCCCTTCAAAATCAATGCCCATAATTGAGAAGATTTTACCTGTCAATATAACATGATTCAAACAGGAAAATTCAGATTTATCTTAGGTATATGAAAACTAAGTACTTAAAATATATTATATAAATTTAAATTTTTCAGTTGTGAACATCTGAGTATGTTTTGTTGTATTTTTCTGAAGTAGAAATCAAAAACCAGAGTCATTTCTATTTACTATTGATTCTAATTACAATGACTAAACAGGATGCATTTCCTTCCGAACATAAAAATAAAAGATGAAAATCAATAAATAATACTGCAATATGTCATTTAATTCAGTAATTTTGCAGTTGAATGATTGAATGGCCTTAATCGCTCAGATACTCAAGCAGAAAAAAATAGAAACTCATTAACTTCTACAATGACAGAAATTCAGCTTGAAGTATTAAGGTTCTGTGATGCAATATATCACACACATTCTATGTATGTGAATCATAGATGACAACATGAATCTATTTGGGGTTATTTCCCTAGGGATACTACTTTTTGTAAAGTGGGAAATGAAAAATTCTATAGGTACTCTGACATAATTTTGAGAAGAATAACGCAAATTTGTATAGAAAAGAATTCGGTAATGCAGATCCTATGTCTACATAGGGCAATTTTTTTTTAAGATTTACTTATTATTTTTATTGGGAAGACAGATTTACAGAGAGAAGGAGAGACAGAGAGAGATCCATCTGCTAGTCCTCTCCTTAAGTGGCAAGTGGCTGCAAGAGTTAGAGCTGAGCAGATCTGAAGCCAAGAGACACTTCTAGGTCACCTATGCAGGTGTAGAGTCCCGACGCTTTAGACCATCCTCTGCTTCTCTCCCAAGCCACATGCAGGGAGGTGGAAGGCAAATGTAACAGCCGGTATTAGAACTCAACACCCATTTGGGACCCAAGGCATAGAAAGTGAGGATTTAGACATTAGACTATCACACTGGACTCATAGGAAAAATTTCTAATGGTATTAGAAAATTATATGTAGTTGTAATGAATCATTTTGAGAAAGATTTTTCTTTTTGTAATGTTTTACATAGTCTCCTTATTTTGTGCCAATAGAACTCATGGAGAAGCACAACTATGGATATATGGTTTTTGGTTGAAAAAAAATGCAGGAAATCTAGGATTTAAAAGTCTTATTCTAGAAGTGGCCAAATTAAGGGCCATGCTTTGAAAAAGACTTATCAGAGTTTATCTCCTGCAGACTTCTGGTTTCTGTTTTATTAGAGGAACCTGAAAATTCCTTTTCTTGTCTGTTTGTCTTCTCTCTCTATTTTTCTTTAATAATAGAGAACAAGCTGTCCTATTTGGTGTGCAGTGCTAAATAGGGTTGAAGGGTTCCCTGTGGGTCAAAATAATGAATGTATCATTTCCATGTATCATTATAATCACCATAATCTTAAGACAGAAATCACCCACTTCGCTTAGCTCTTTAGCCATACTTAAGATGATATTTACTGATGAAAGTCACAGACAAATATTTGGTTTCCAAATCCCATATGTATATATTGTTTACAAACCTAGCAGAATCAACAGTAATTAACATCATTTGCTATTTTTTGATGTAACTTAGTTGCAAAAAAAAAAAAATCTTCTCAATAGCCTTTCCTGTATGCATGAGTAGATGTGCAAATTCAGGTAGTATTATTTACTTTTTAAAACATAAAAAAGTCTACAGTATTCCAAGTACTAAAACCCGACTGGAAACATGGCTGTTAGTATTTTAGTATATAGGGGGCAGTGTTGCAGTACATGGGTACAGCTGCCACCTGAAACTTAGGCATCCCATATGAGCATGGGTTCTTGTTCTGGTTGCTCCATTTCCGGCTCAGTTTCAGTGCTAATGACCTTTGAAAAGTAGTAGAAGATGGCTCAGGCACGCCATTCATGGTGTGGGGAATGGTGGAAATGCAGCTTTTGGTTTCTGGCTTGGCCTGGCTCAGCCCTGACACTTAACAGCCACTGGGGAGTAAAACAGCAGATAGATCTCTCTCCTTTTCTCTCTTTCCCTGTTTCTCTCTTTCTTCATAACTCTTTCAAATAAATAAATATATCTCTGAAATATGTTTTAGCATAGTAATACACTGAAATCAGGTTTCATAGGCATAAGCATATATCAACATGTATTTGTGATTCTGTATCTGTCTTAGTTATCACATGTCTTTTCTTTTTCAGATAATGCTTAGAATATGCTACAGCAATAATTGGTATTGGATATATACAGAATCTTTTCAGCTTTTTGCTCTCGTGGTCCATTTCCTGCCAGCTTTAACTCATCTGTGAACCCTCAAACATTTTACATGATCTGCAATGGTTACATGAACCCCGGGGTAGCGGTATTTGCACCATCTCTTACCTTATTCACTATGGCACTTTAGGAAAAGACATTGAAACAAGCTCCCAAAGCATTATTTTTAAAAAATGAATCTTATCGTGAAGCTGCGAAGAAGTTTTCGAACATTGATTGTTTTGCTGGTGACCTTTTGCTTGCTGAGCATTATCATTTCTGCCTATTTCCTCTACTCCGGCTATAAACAGGAAATGGCGCTTATTGAAACCACTGCCGAAGCAGAATGCGCTGACATCAAAATTCTACCGTATCGGTCAATGGATCTGAAAACAGTTAAACCTATCGATACATCCAAAACTGATCCCTCTGTCCTCCTCTTTGTGGAAAGCCAATACTCTCAACTTGGTCAAGATATCGTAGCAATCTTGGAATCCAGCCGATTTCATTATCACATGGTCATTGCCCCTGGCAAGGGAGACATACCTCCTCTTACATACAATGGCAAAGGAAAATATGCCTTAGTCATTTATGAAAACATTTTGAAGTATGTGAGCATGGATTCATGGAATCGAGAGCTTTTAGAAAAATACTGTGTGGAATACAGTGTTAGTATTATTGGTTTTCATAAAGCCAATGAGAACAGCTTACCGAGTACACAATTAAAAGGCTTTCCATTAAACCTTTTCAACAATATAGCTCTTAAAGACTGTTTGGTCAATCCTCAGTCTCCTTTGCTGCATATAACCAAAGCTCCCAGAGTTGAGAAAGGACCTCTTCCTGGGGAAGACTGGACTATTTTCCAATACAATCATTCAACCTACCAGCCTGTGCTTTTAACAGAATTACAGTCAGAAAAATCTCTTTCATCTCTGTCCAGTAAAACACTCTATGCGACAGTCATTCAGGATCTGGGACTTCACGATGGAATTCAACGAGTTCTTTTTGGCAACAACTTGAACTTCTGGCTACACAAACTCATCTTCATAGATGCCATCGCCTTTTTGTCAGGGAAGAGATTGGCATTGTCCTTGGAGAGATACATCCTTGTGGATATTGATGATATATTTGTTGGGAAGGAGGGAACAAGGATGAATGTCAAAGATGTAAAGGTAAGAACATTTATAAATAACATTGAAAAATATAAATCATGAGATTTTTCCATTGATCAAATATGATTTTGAATTTTTGAGATTCCTAATCTCTCAAATTTGAAGGTGATGCAGTCAAAGCGGTGTTTTTATTTTCTTTTTAATCTCAAAATGCAACCGTTCCTTAGTCACATACACACCAGAAGCTGTAGAAGGAAACAGAACTAAGAAGCACTAGCTGAGTCGCTTTGCCTCTTGTTAAGCCTCACCCTTCCCAGCTAGGATGTTGACAGCAGCCGTAGTTATTTTAACGTGTTTTGCATTTACAGCAGTGAGTTAGCACAGGTATAGAGTGCTTCTGAATGAATGGCTCCGACAAACAGGTTTGACAGTGGTGGTTTAAACACAATATGGAGAAGCAACGCAAAAACTATCTCTATATAGCCCCAAGGAGTCCAAGCCTTTGCTTTTGTGGGAGTTTCATATAGTTGAAAATAAATATTAGCAAATAGTTTTATTAGAAACATTACGTTGGATTTGGTTTCAAGAGGCTTGCATTATTCTGTCTATTAATTTATCCTGCTATTTTTGGAAAACAACACAGTGTCACGGGAAACACTTCTAGATTATGAACAAATGACTGTATACCAGATTTTTCTATGATTTGCTGTCAGATAAAGAAAAGGCGAAGCAGGGTATATCAGATTAGAGATTAGACTGCATTTCTGAACATAATTTTCTTCTTAATATTACAACCCAATTCTCACATAATTTTTTACATGTTCCTATCCTGTCTTATATATAAATGTGTTCAATATATGCATACATACTTTTAGTAAAAAGAAGGGAAAATAAGAGGACCCATTTATACTAAGTATATATACATATGTATAATTATTGGTATGCTTTTGTTTATGTGTATGTATGTGTATAACTGTATGTATTATATATATGTGTGTGTGTATATATACATATATATGTAACAAAGATAATTACGAATATACCCTCTCTATTTTTCTTTAAGTTTCTCTTATTATTTGTCCACCAGATATGAGATACTCGTACTACTTTCAGTTAACAGCTTTTCATGCAAAATTCCAACTCTATAAGCACCGTAATACAACATGATTAAAACTTGTGAAATAATTTCAATTTTAAAAACCCTTGAAAGTATGTGTAGGTTGGTGTATTCTATTTTAATGAGTCATTCAACAAAATTACTGTTATCCAAACTTTTTATTTCAGAACTGATATAACAGGATTAAGAGATCATATCTGAATTCCTTATAAATTTGTCTTGGATTTTTTTCCTTTATTGGATTTTTCTATTCAGTGATATAAATGCTAATTTTGTTTTAATGTTAAAGTCATAAACTCTGGAAAATGCTCATTTAGTGGTTGGTTTGTACCTTGAAAACTCAAAGATTGGATTTCTTTTCATATTAAGGAACAGCAGCAATTTTAAAAATTAATAATCTAAATAAAACTGAAGAATTAAAATTCAACTATTTCAGTTACTATCAAGAGAAAAACAAATAACTCTACATCATTAATCATACAATAGTCAAAGTTCACTAATGAATTCTTCATAGAAAAATGGAACAAAACAAAGCCCTGAGCAATGTCATGCACAGAGAATTAAAAATGTCGTGTGGGTGCATATATGTGAGTGTATACATATGAATATTAATTATATAGTTTTATAAATAAATATAATGAATTTATTAATGCAGCCTTAGGTAAGCTAATTGTTATAGAAAATACTCCATAGTGGCTTTTTTCTTCGTTAATTCTGCTTTTCTCTAACAATTGAGAAAAATTATAAATATGAATTTTCACATGCAGTATGATGTTTTGAAATATCTGTACATTCTGGGATGATTAGATCAAACTAAATGACAAATGCATTGCCTCACACGTTTGTCTTTTTTGGTAAGGAGAGAAACTCTGTTCTCTCATTGTTTTTTAAGATTATAACCCATTGTTAGTAATTGTAGTCACCATGCTCTACATTAGATCTCTTATCTGCCATGCAACTGAAATTGTGTGCCTCCTAAATAATGCCTCATGGTCTAGCCCTGGTAAAAACATTGCATTCTCTGTCTCCAGGAATTAATTAATTAATTTATTTATTTATTAGTTTCCACCTATACGTAAGACTATTCAACATTTTTCCCTTTGCTTATTTCATTTCATGCAATATTTATGACATTAATCCATGTTGTTACAAACAGCAAAATGTATTTTTACTGGTGCAAAATACTCCATTTTGAATATATATGCTACATTCCCTTCAAGCTTTCATCTTATGGTTAATATAAAGCTTGATTCACACTTTGTAACTATGAATATTGCTACAATAAATAAGGGATACCATATGCATTTCTAAGACATGATTTCATTTCTAAGTCCTATTGTAATTTCTTTTTAGTTTCTTTTTTTCTTTTTGATAATCTTATTTAGTTGCTGAGGGTACAAAGGGTCAAGGGCTACAGGAAAATGAGTAAGATCATTGTTTCCACACTAATATCATCATTGTTTTCCCTGTGTCTTGGGTCAGGGGAAAAACAAAGGGAAAAGTCCCACCCAGCTTCTCTCCTATTCCAGGTTGCCAATGTTAGGCACGCTCCGAGGGCCCTGCTCAAGCAGTTTTGATAGTTCAACAGGTCTGAATTGCTGCCAGTCTCGCCGTTCTAATCGGGATAAAATTCATTCAGAATCCACTGGTTGACACAGTCTCTTCATGGTTGGGGTTCTGAGGTCAGCAGTTCAGTTGGAGAGATCTCCAAAGAAACTTCGTCTGATTCTTGTGTGTGCTTGCCAGTACAGGGTGTGGCACAGTCCATCGCCCCAATTAGCTTATGCACATGCTGTTTGTTTCAATTGCTGGGTCAGTTCTGTTTCCAGCCCTGTCTTCAACTTTAACCAATGGGTGTTGCAGTCAAGCCCAATCCTGTCCACTTCATACTTGGCTCTCACACAAACCAGTGGGAGCTGCAGCCCAGTTGGGGCGACTCCCCATAACCCCCACCAGGCCTGACCCCTACCCTGGTTCTCAGGCTTGCCAGTATGTACTGCACACTTGCTCATTAGTCCCACATCCCATTTAGCTCTCGAACATGTCAATGGACATTGAAGCCTAGTTCAACCCAACCAGCCCTACTATCTAGCCCACAGACATACTGGCAGGTGCCTTTCTTTCTAGCCAACCCTGTCCCTATCTTGGTTTTCGTGTTCTGCAGTGGGAGTGGTAACTCAAGAGGGAGGTGCCCACTATCGCCCTACTAGGCCACTCCAGCTTCTGGATTCTGCACTCTCCAGGTGGTTCTGGAGTTTAATTTGACAGATTAAGCTCCCAGTGCCAGCCTCTGCCAGCTGATGCTGCAACAAAGCCCAACCAACCTTCACGCACTCTAATGTTTGCTAGCAGGAACAGTCAGTCCAACCTGGTCCTTCCCTGATCTAGCTCACCTGAGACCAACAGGTGTTGTAGCCCTGCCTGATCTGGTCTGCCCCCATCCCAACTCATGCTTTCCAGTAGGAGTGGCTGTCCAGCAGGGAATTCCACATTCCCCCTGCCGGCTCTGCCTGGTCCTCACATGTGCTGTTCAGGCGCTGCAACCACATCTGGTACGGATCACCCCACCTTGACATTCTGTAATATGCACTGGTTTGTGTCGTGACTGAACTCAGCCTGACCCACACTCTATTCTGGTTCTTGGATTCACCGGTGGGTGATGTGAATGGATTCAGCCTGGTCTGTCCCACCCCCCTATGCCAAATATATGCCGATGGAGATCTTCCTCTGGCCTGATCTGGATTGCTCCCTATAGTGGTTTTTGCGCTCTCCTATAAGTACTGTGTCCCAACCGAGGAGTTTCCCAAGCTCCTCCATCAGAACCTCTCCCTATGCCAGATCTTATGCGATCTGTTGGTTCCATGGGTCAGCCCTCATTGCTGGCCTTCAGTCCATTCCAGTTCAAGAAAGAATAGAAATCAGGATGGAGCAAATGTCATACCGAACTAGGCTTTTACACTGACTGGTCTGCAAATTAGTCAATTGGATCAGAATAACCACTTGCATGCATGTAATCTAGGGATGGGAATAATCTCGATTGGTTAGCTGTGAGAGTACATCCTTGCTGGGTTGAGGTTTCCACGGGAGAGTACGAGGGCCAGAATGGGAGCTGCATTCTGGTCTGGATATGGCTACAATCTCTCTTGGCACAAGTGTTTACTGGATCTGGGAGCACTGAGCTGGGCTAGATGCCAGCACCATCTGGTGCTCTGGAGAACCTGGGTAGATGTAGGATGGACTAGGCTGGGTCTCTGTCCCTACTGAGCCATGTGTGAGCAGTGTCTGGGTATGGATAAGCATTGGCTGGGTTAAAACATCCTTTATAGTTTCTTAAAGAACCTTTCTGGCATACTTTATAATGGCAATGATTATTTACAAGTAACCAGCAGTGTGAAAGGGCTCCCTTTGCTCCATATTCTACCAATAGCTTTTCTCTCGTATTTTGATAATTGTTTGAACTGCATTTTTTGTTTTGTTGCTGTTGTTTCTTGAGTTCCTTACATGGTTTGTATATTAATCTTTTATCAGATATATAGTTTAAAAATAATTCGCACTGTTTTGTGCTTTGCTTCTTTGTTGAACATATCTCTTGCTGTACAGAAGTTTTTTGGTTGGTTGGTTGGTTTTTTGTTGTTATTGTTGTTTTTGTTTTTTATCTCGGTAGAATACCATTTCTCTGTTCTTGCTTTTATTGTTTGGGCTTCTACAGCATTTTCCATGAAGTCTTCCTATGTCAATGTTTCATAGCACTTCCACTGTGTTTTACTTTAGTAAACTGGAAGTTTTTAGATCTTAGGTTATATTCTTTTCGAGTTGATTTTTGTAGAAGAGAAGTTATAGGGGTCTTGTTTCATTTTTCTGTATGTGGAGATCCAACTTTCCCTATACCATTTGTTGAACAAACTGTCCCTGTTTCAAGGAATCATTCTAGCTTTCTTGTTAA